TATATATATATATATATATATAAATCATTGTGTCAAATACGAACAAAAATTTGACATATATATGAACTTGGACTGAATAGCATTTATGAACACAATAGAACATAATAAGAATAACTTCTATACGAAAGAAATTAAATAAAAAAAACAGGCATGAATTGAACACGATATAAACAGCTTGTGAACAATAGTTCCTTTATTATAAACACATTCAGGAGCAATCCTTTGTCAATTGGAGTTTTATACATGCATTGCATCCACACCGTTTAAGGTTCACCCCTTGTTCATATATGTTTCTGATCTTATATGGTTGTTCACCCTTGTTCATATCGTGTTCACCCCTCGTTCATATCATATAAAATATATCAACACAATATGAACTACAAAAAACACAATACATCATATGAACATAATTTTGATTAAAACGAGTCTAATAAAATATTAATCCATTAACAAGACATTCACTTTGGTTAATTTATTCACTTCCCGAACTCGAACTCCAATTGTCACCATAAACCATTTTAATCTTCTCAATGTTGTCGATTTTTTTTCCAATGCATTTATCCATAATAGCTTGAACGATACCGAAGATTTTACTATCGTGTTTCCTCCATGAATCAAAACCTTACAAAACAATAAAAATAGAAGATCAAGATTAAAAAATAAATAAAATATCAATATTATAAATGTATATTTTTAGAGATTTTATAATTTTGTAACTCCCCTTTAATGGTATGGGAGTTACATATCAAATGAAATTACTCAATTACCCTTGACATTAAATTGTGAACATGATAGAAACCTAATAGAAGAATGGATTGTRATTGGTTGACATGATTTGCAAAGTTAACACAAAAACTTTGGTTAACATTTGATCTTGTTCCTATATATATATATATATATATATATATATATATATCTCCACAGTTTCACTTGTACCTCATGCATTACAACTTGTACCATAGAAATGTATCGACTTTTCTCATGAAAATTTCAACATTGTATATCTTTACAGCTTGTCTTTGTTGTTCTTGTTTAGGTTTATAAATGGCATTTGGAAATTGTTAAGTTTTCGTTGTTTGAAAAAGTATTTTTATAAAATTCTAAAGTTTAAACAGGATTTCAGTGTTTTATTGTTTATGAAATTGGATTAAGAATAAAAGACCAACATGATTAAGGGGATGT